CATTTAATCATCCAAAACGTTATGGAACACATTAATTAACTGAAAAATGTTGCATAGTGTGCCTTTAACAGCTTCCTAAGGGGTTGTAGTACCTGTATATCTCATATTAAAACTTACAAACTTATCCTCTTGCAAAGCTGTATCTTTGAAATCTCAAATCTATTCACGCTTATTGACCTACATTTACATTTCAGGCACCGATGCATTCGTTTTTATTGACAGACATTTTATCCCATACCTGCGCTGCAGCGCATCATAACCAATGAGTCACCTTTACCCTTCAGTCGATGTGAAAAGCTTGTATGATGAAGCCGAACAGCAGCTTATGTTCAATTAACACAAGGAATGCAGAGACAGGAAGGTGGGACGAAATGATAAAGGAATGTCTGTTTGCACTCTGCTTACTTCACTTTAAGAAAATACTGACTCAGTTTACAAGGTTGGTGGGGGTGGGGATGACAATACTACAGTTTAAACCATCAAAATCTGACTCTCCTTTTACAAAACTTCAGCTTGAAGAATATTCACACAGGAAATACTTTCTGTTTCTTACAAAACTTAACTGTGATGAAAAAATTATACACGCTGTAAAATAATTCCAAAAGAACTATTTACACATACAGCAATGTCACAGAATGATGCTACAGGTGCATCTTAATAACTTATTTCACTAATTTCAATAAACTCAGATTGTATCAATTAACTTTATGCACAGGAGTTTTAGTCTAAATGTGACTTTTTGTTGATTTTGATGATATTGGCTTACAGCTATGGTAGACCTTGTTTTCTGATTAAAACAAAATAAGCAAATGGGAGGAAATTTTTTTTTCTAAATTAGTAATTTAATATTATGGCCTAAACAGAGGTGGGTTGAAAAGCAAGCTAAGCAGCAAAATAATCACTAGTTGCATTGCCATTACAAATGTGCGCAAAACGATGCTGGTGTTTTGCCAATTTCAAAAGTACAGTTTTTTGCATTTGCTGTATTTCCATAAAATAACGAATACAAATTAAAGCTGCATGTGAAAAGGTTTGTTCATGCAATACTGTAACGGAAATGACATGGAAATGTAAGTACATGAGATAGTTCAGCCATGGCAGTAGTGGGCACCATCATCCTTTCAACCACATATGGCCTCTTGTCTTTTTACAAGTCAAAAGTCCGGCTGCAGATCAAGTGACTCGTTTGATGCAAAAAAATAAAAAATAAATAAAAATACTTCCATTGCAGTTTTATTAAATCTGATTTTTTATTAAATTTATTTTTGTAATCACAATTTGTGCAATTTGATGGTGTTTGGAAGCACAGCTACTACAGAAGCAGCAGGTTCCCAGTGTGCTGTAGCAGGGTATATTAATGGAACGTTTAGTGGAAGGAAAAACTGCAGCAGCAAAAAGATGCACAATGAACAGGTATAACTACAGCTTCAATTATATTTAACGTTTATATATTTAACGTTGATGGCTTTCCTGCAATATTACCAAACTAACTGGTGAGAGGAAAGGAAGAAAAACCAAACCCCAAAATACAACTAAGCTAAAGGCTGTTATCATAATAATATCTAGTGTGGTTATTTTGGATCTTGGCATATAAATCATAGCATATATTTAGGGTGGTACCAGGGAAGTTTTTCTTTTCATAAAGTATACCTCAAACAGTATGCTAATTGTATGACTGACTTAACTGAATCCAGATTCAGCCCAGCATCGAATTAGGCAGGCCACACTTATATTATTATAGGAGCTGGTGTTAGCATGACCTTAAACCATTAGGATCGCCTGGTTGTCGGTGTGTGTGTGTAGGTGGGTGAGCATATGTTTAGAATCAGTGTGCTTTTACTGAGTGTCGAGTGCAGGTTTGAAACCCGGAGGTTTATGTTTGTAAGTATTATGAGGATGGAGGAAGAAAGGCCTGGAAACCACAGCATCTAAGAGCAGCTGAGGGCAGATAGTTCTGGTTCTGAAAGGCTGGGAAAGATCCAGGTACCCAGACAGTAAGAGGGGCAGAGAGGTCAGCAGGGACTTCAGGGAGAACATCTTAATGTTCTGCATCATTTAAATAAGTGAATATTTCTGTAATGAATGGATATATATATATTATTATTAATAAAAAAAGTCAAATTTTGGTCAACCTTTGCTGTGAGCAATTATCACCAAAATGTAGAAAACCAAAAGTGTTAACCGGATCCTTCTGTGGGGGGGTGAAATGAACCGTGGGTGAATTTCATGTCATCAATCGAGTCACAGAAATAACCCAACTTTTCAAACACGTTCTAATTTACTGAGATGCCTCTGAGTTCTTTTGAGGTTAGACTACATCCATTGAACCGAGTTCAACAAATAGCCTTTGAATAAATAAAGAAACCTGCATTGAGATGTGAAAATAACCGCCCGATTTCTGGAACCTGCAAATGAAAAGAAAACCAGAAGACATGGTGTGGGTTTAGGGTTCTGACAACCTTCCTCCAACAAATCCAACTTTAACTTGAAGGCTCTAACTACACACTGTGAAGCTGAACAGAGAACACAAGGAACAACAATTAGCTTTTCTCTAAATCTCTGTGTATCAAAAGCTACGTCGAACATCACTACAGTACATATAGAGACAGAGAGCCGACACATTAGACCTGATCTGAAGGCACGTGGCTGGGGAGGAAGAGGAGAAGAAGGTGGAGGTTGAGGTGGGTGCTGAGCGGAGCCGGGGCTACTTGAGCAGTGCACGGTAAAGGAGGAGGGAGTGGGCGGTCTCTCTCTCTTGCTCCATGTAGAATATTAAGTCCCTGAGGTTGACGCGGGTGATGCGCTGCCGAGTGTACTGGCGTGATGAGGTGGACGGGGCGGAGGAGCACGCCGGGGAGCCTGCCGTGCTGCCAGAAACCTGGAGACAAAAACTTTTCATGTGAGATGGAGGATTTTCATACTCCATAACTTTTGAAACATTTTCCCACGTTAAAACCAGAAACTTCTTCTGGGATTTTTATGGGATAGCCTCAACACAAAGAACTGTATGGTTATCAGACAGAAGGAAAAACAAATTTATTCTGATACCCTGAGACATCCAAAGTAATCATTCACTAATGCAGGCATCCCCAACCTTGGTCCTCGAGACCTGCTGTCCTGCAGGTTTTAGAGGTTTCCCTGCTTTAGCACAGCTGATTATAATGATTGCAGTAGATCAAAAGCCCCCCCAGTTATCCAGGTTGGCACCATAGGATTGGTGTGTATCGGGTAGAGTTAAATTACCTGTAGATAATGGGAAAGGTTTTGCAGTTCTATGGTAGTAGAACAAAAGGCAAGGTTCTGGGGAATTGTCAACTGCCCAAGGAGACATTTTTGATCAAATGCTAACAGCTTAAAAGATAATTAGAAATCAAATACTGGAAAATTAGCTCAAACAAAGTCATCTTCTTCTCCATATAAAAAAAAGGGGAAAAAAATCATCAAATAAATAAATGTAATCTAACAAAAACTTCCAACTGTTTTTAATATTCCTTTTTTGTTTCTGCATTTCTTATTTTATTTTATTTTTTTCCTACTTGCTTTGATTCTGTTTTACCTTCCTGTATTTTAATCATGTAAAGCACTTTGCATTGTCTTTGTACTGAATTGTGCTATACAAATACATTTGCCTTGCCTTGCCTTGCCTTGTTAATCAACTTTTAATTAAAATCAGCTGTGCTGGAGCAAGGAAACCTCTAAAACCTGCAGGACGGCGGGCCTCAAGGACCGAGGTTGGGGATGCCTGCACTAATGTGTATTTTTAGTGGTAATTCAGTTGCAGCAAGCACACCACGAAGTTAATGAATAAAGCTATGGAGAAAGTTACAGCAGGTCCAGGTTGTAACTGTAAATATACCTAAACAAACATAAAGACGTGACCCTCTGATCTGAGGGGCAAGAGGAGAATTAATCAGACAAGCAGCTAATCGGCCCATGGAACCATAGAAGGAGCTATAGAATAACAGCTACTGGGAAACATTCTAGCTCAGATAGGACGACCAGATTTATTAGATCGGTTCAATGCAGGATTAAAGAGTGGTTTTTAAAAAAAAAATCTTTTGTTAAAATCAGGAGTGTATACATACTTTTCTTAGTATAAAATGGAATTGCGCCTAAAGGATTCATCACCTTTCATTTTAAACATGTATGCTGGTGCTGAGCTTCAGTTAAACGTGCAAGAAAAACACTCGAAAGTGTCTTTTTTTGTGTGTGTGTGTGCAAACCAGATAAGCCAATAAAAGTGCACTCTCCGAAATGCAAGATTTTGTTTCTCCTCCTGTAGTGACATCATCATTGGAAGGCTGCTAACATTAGCCACATTGCTATCACCACTATCATTCTGGTCTCTATCCAAACAAAAAAGGACTGACCTGCAGGGAGTTGTGTTCCTTTTGTAAACCAACCAACCATGGCTAACTGCTAATGATGCCAACATCCATATGAACATCAATTCTTGCGTATACCCTTGTGAAAAAAGTGGTATAAAAAGGATTTTAAATAAGTTCAATTTAGCTAAAATGTAGCTAATAAGCTCAATTTTTATTTTCTCCAAGAAACAATCAAATATACATTTCAAGACATTTTAGAGGATTGTATCAGCAAAACACATTTCTACGTCTCGTTTAAAACATGGCTTAAACATTTTGCGGCATTCTTCTACAAATTTGCCCCCATACTTTGCTGAGATTTTTACTCACACTGACTCTGATTCATCTTACAATCTTAGATCTAGCTAAAAAGTCTTCTGGATTTTGTTTGGAGAATGATATACTAAGCAAGAGCAGAATCTGTGAGATTTTTTTGATATAATTTCATTTAAAATAAGTGGTATATTCCATATCCAGCGCAGTAAGACAATTGCACTTGGTAAGAGTTCTTGCTTTGAGAATATATATCATGGTCTCTAGAAGTCTTATCAACACAAATCAGCAAAGATAACGGAAAGAAAATCATCTGCCTCAAAAAAATCATGACTACATGTTGGACGGTCACAAACCCAAGCAGACGTCAAACGGAAATGCGCAGACAAAAAGCAGCTTTAATTGGTCCTTGGTATGCCTTTCTGGCTATCTGTGTGGTCGTCCTTGTTAATTCGTTGCCAGGGCGCGCCATTTTTAAAAACCGAGGAACAACTACGATGGACAACCTATGTGCCCTCCTTTGTCTTTTTGCCAACTCCATTAACAGAACCTGTTCCTCTTCGATGTCTAGCAACTCTAGATCCATCTTTGTGGCCGTGATATCTTGCAGATGCGCCATTGTTGTTTTGGAAGATAAACACTCCTGCCAGTGCCCCCGAAGTTCTTGTGATGTTCCATCGAAGTTCTCGCAAGTTCTTGAATAGGCTCCCCCTAGCGCTTTGGCGGAAACTGCTGTGCATCCCTAGAAATTCTAGACAGACGGTGCAGAAGCATACCAGCAAAACTGGTTTGTGACCAGACCCAAGAAACATTTGATGTGTGCGGTTGCAGAAGTCTGATCTACTCTTTATCCCTGATGGACTGTCACTGAAGAAAACAGTCATTGCTTAAGAATGAATTCCACCACCCTAATTTTGGACCATCAGCAGTACTTCAAATCCCAAGCTCTAAAGAAACTAAGATTTTCACAACTTTAAACAGTTTGATGATGTTCTGACTTTGATGTAGTAGAGCATCAAAGCTTGTTTCCACAAATCTAGATCCTACCTGTACAAATGATTCTTTTGGAAAAAGTCTTGTAGTAGCAATGTGTTGTATTTACTTGTATTGTTGGATACAAGTTTCTTTAGAGAACGAAGAATCCTGACTTGTTGTGATCTTACTGGAGAACAACTTGAGAGACTGATCTGTTAAGATTCAATACAACAATTTATTTATTTATTTTTTTTCTGGATTGAGGTTTTTTTGTTTCTTATCTGAGAAATTTTAAAAGTTTCTTATCTGAGAAATTCACCCGTTGTTTGAAGAGGATCTTTCTACTGTAAGCAAAGGTTCAAGGGATACTATTTTTTTTGTTTTGTTTATAGGGAAACGAAGTGCATGGGTGTTTGAAAAGGAAGCAGTAGTTGTGTTTCCAATTGACGACATGAGATCATCTTTGTTGAATGGCAAACACATTGACAGTATCAAGAGTAAGGAATGCTGTGGCCTCAAAGCAAGCATCACCTCCAATTAGAAAAACAAAATCATCTCCGCTTGCAGAGCATGAATGAGATCAAAAAGGTGGCGTAATAACATCCAGATATTCAGGTGCTCGCCTAAACAAAGGCTGAGAAAAACATTTACCAAATATTGCCAAGAACCAGGGTAACCACAGCCGCAGTTAAAAATGTTCTTTATGCTGCCTGGGATATGAGGAGATCTGCCATACAAATAAACAAAGCTGCTGACAAAGATTCAAGATGAAATTCCAATCTCATTATACAGGGTTCTGACTTTTTTTTTTCCCCCCATTTAAAAACTCCAAATTTAGGTGAAAATCTACGTTTGAGATTATTTACCTATAATCTGAAAAGTAAAATATAAAAGTTCCCTTTGAGAAAAATAGTACCACTAGCACTTTAAAGATGCAAAATGAAAAAAAAAATAAGTAAAGACAACAGGAGGGAATGAAGAAAATATGATTAGAAAGAAGGAATGATGAAAGGAAATAAGGACATGTAAGTAAGGACACAAGGAGGGGAGAAAAACGAACACAATAGAGAAAATCTGGAAAAAGGAAATCAATCAGAGATGAAACACGTGCACAAAAGGAGGATGGAAGCAAAGGAGGAGAAATTTAGACAAACAGCAAAGAAGCAAGACCTGGAAATACAAACATTTCAGCAAACTGTTACTGTAGCAAACCTCTATGTAGCTTTCTAGCATAGAGTAGAAAAGCTGGTATCCTGAGTTCTCTGGGTTATCCATCAGTCTTTTGGCTTTGAGTTAAAAAGGTTGACTGTGAACAGGAGTAGCCATAAAAAGATCAAAGGCACACTATAGAGTAGGTAAGAGAATATGTAAGATAACTGTATTTCCCATGGCCATTCAAATACATTCAACTCTTTGTGTTTTGACAAAAGCTTGGTTTTCATCGGGTCCAAGTCTGTGATGGCATTCACTCTTTTCTGATACCTTTACAGGTTATATGAACATCTAACTTTGTTCAAGTCATCATACTCACTAGTAAGAAAGCTATGAATTTATAGAAAAGATTTAGAGTAAAAAAATATAAATGTTGGTAATAATAAATTATACTATAATAATTTATTAGAAGGAAGGAAGGAAGGAAGGAAGGAAGGAAGGAAGGAAGGAAGGAAGGAAGGAAGGAAGGAAGGAAGGAAGGAAGGAATATTAACATATTATCGTAACAAAAAAAAAGAGACATCATTAACGGCCAGTAGATGGTAAAAGGACTGTACTGGTACATACCTGGCCAGAACAACAGCATTTTTTCATTTAAGTGAGGTGGAAAATACAAGAACTAAATATTATTTATAATTTATAATATATATATTTATAATATATTTTTTAGGGACGCACGATATTGGGATTTTGGCCGATATCCGA